AAAGGACATTTTGTCTTTGAATGTAACTGAGAGTGAAAAACCAGCCACGGGCCCTGGGGGCCACCGACCCGCCTGCCCTGCCCCCCGCGCCCGCCCTGCCCCCGCCCGGTCCCCTACGGCCTGTCTCCCCGGCCGCCCTGTGCCCTCCTGCCCCCACCTGCCCTGCCCCCCGCGCCTGCCCTGCACCTGCCCGGTCCCCTACGGCCTGTCTCCCCGGCTGCCCTGTGCCCTCCTGCCCCCACCTGCCCTGCCCCCCGCGCCTGCCCTGCACCTGCCCGGTCCCCTACGGCCTGTCTCTCCGGCTGCCCCGCGCCCTCCTGACCCGCGCCCGCCTGCCCTGCCCCCCACCAGCCCTGTGCCCCCCGCGCCGTGCCTGCCAGGCCTGGCAGCAGGGGACCCTTGCCCTCTGCTAATCCATGGCCCCTCTTGGACCCAGGGAGCTGGAAGAGCCCCAGGGGCAGGCCCGAGTGGGCAGTGGTTGGGATGTGCTGCCCTTTGCCCATGTGGTGGTAAATCTCCCCCCGCACCCCCCGGGGCTCTGCCAACCCCCCCTCTCGCCCCCCGCTCAGGCTCTGGATCCAGCCAGGGGCTGTTTCGCTCGTGGCATGTCACGGCGCCACCTTGTGGTTTGCACGGCCACTTTCCCGTCGCCTCTGCCTGGGGGTTCCTGGGGCGTCCCTGCAGCAAACCCCTCCGAGCTCAGCTGCCCTGGGGACGGAAGGGCATGCAAGGCCCCTCTGCAGCCGGCAGGCAGATCAGTGCCCCCTGCCCTGAACTGGCCAGGTTGGGTGCCACTGCTAGGAGCCAGCTTCCATGCCCCCTGTCCCCCCTTCTCCCCCACCCCCTGGACCTCACTGCCCTGGGGCATCTGAATCCAACCCTTGGATTCCTGTTTATTGAGACTCTGAGGGTGTGGAGAGCGTGAGACTGTGCTGGGGGGGGAGGAACGGATCAGGTTAGAGGCCTGGTGGGAGTGGTGACAGGGTTAGATGGCAGGGAGGGATGGGGTCTGGGTTAGAGGGCCGTGGGGTCAGGGGTCGGAGGGATCGGGTCAGAGATACAGGGCTGGGGGGGGGCGGGGTTGGGGTTAGTGGGATGGGGGGGTGGCGTCAGGTTTATAGGGCTGGTGGATGTCAGTCAGTGGGTGGGAGGAGGAGGCCCGGGGCAGGGAAGCTGGGGCGGGGGGAGGGGGGGTGCTCAGAGCCTCCCCTGGCCCTCCCAAGCCCCCTTATCTCCCCTGCTCTTCCAGATAACGGGCTGTCGCCGCCCCTGGTCGGCCCCTTGGCACCTGCAGCCTGAGCTGGGGCTGGCCTGTGGGTCGCTGCCCTGGGCCTTGGCTTGCCCGACCGTGCAATGGGGACAGGAGGGGCAACCCGCCTGTCGGGGGAGCTCCCGTCGGGGGTAAGCATCGCTGCAGCCAGTAACCAGGTCTTGTTCTCGCTCTGCTGCAGGTGGCTGGATGGGAAACGCAAAAGAAAGAGCAGCCAATGTTCGGTGAAGAGCAGCATGTCAGGTACTGTGTGTCCCCCACCCCTGGGCCAGGCCTGTCCACTCCCCCCGCCCTGGGGCCTGTTCCGTCCCCCTGCCCCCAGGACAGGCTGCGGGCACCCCAGGGCGTTGTCTTGTGCCCTGGCTGATGGGTCAGGCATGCAGCTGTTTTCTCCCTGGCGTCGTCACTGGGCCCTGGCCTAGGCTGGGGGGCACCACAGCCACGGGCGGGTTAGTGCCCCCTTCCCAGGGCAGTCAGCGTTCAGGCCAGGAGGGCGCAGGGTCCTGCCACAAAGGAGCTCTGTCCCTACAGCGCCCTAGGGAGGGTCTCGGGGTCAGGCCAGGGCCTGGCGTACGGGGGCGGGCCCAGCTCCGAGTCCCCGGGAGGTTGGGCCGGGGCAGCTCAGGGTATCGGCTCCAGCAGGCTGGACAGTGGGGCCCTGCGTGCGGGAGATAAACCCACTGGCTCAGCAAACAACACGACCTCTGTGATGGGGGGGCCTGTCCCAGGGACAAGGCTGGCAGATCTCCCAGAGTGGGATGGGAGCAGGGCTGGATGCTTTTAGGAGCGTGGAGGGGCTGGTGTGGGGCGTGGGAGGGGGCGGGGGGGGGGGGTGGAGGGGCTGCTGGAGAGGACGGCGGGGGGGGCACGGGCTGCTTAGGGTGGCTCTGTGCCCATCTACATCTGTGTTTCCTGAGTCAAGTTCCTGGGTTGCAGCGTCCGGCGTTTTCCGTGTAAGACCCTGGCTCCTCCCGGCACCGCCAGCCGCACCCGGCGCCCCCTGAGCTGCCCCCTCCGCCCGCTTGCATCCCCACCTGCCAGAACAAGGCGCCCTCGAACCCAGGGGGCGTCTCTCTCTGTGTCCCCAGCCTTGCTGAGCACAACGTGCTTTGGCTGGCTGGCTCCTCTGCGGCCCGCGGGACACGCCTGCATTGTCTCTGCTCTGCGCCCTGGGCCGCACCTGCCCTCAGCTCTGCCCGCTGCTCGGCGCTCGCCCCAGCCCCAATTCTCTGTGACACCCTGCCCCACTCGCGTCCTTCCCTGCCCGTGTGCTGCCCGGCCCTGGGGCTGCAGCACGGAGCAGAACAGTCTCGTCTGGTGTCTGGCTGAGTGCACGTGCCACTCCCCGGGGCACCTGCCTGCCGGCACAGGACCTGGGTCCCTGACACCCCTCTGCCAGGGCACCCGCTTCCTGCAGGCCGTGGGGCTCCCTCTCTCCCCCGAGCGCTGGCTCTGCAGGGCTGTAACCTCCGGGCTCCCTCCTCCCCAGGGTACATCCCTAGTTACCTGGACAAAGATGAACAATGTGTCGTGTGCGGTGACAAGGCGACCGGCTACCACTACCGCTGCATCACCTGCGAGGGCTGCAAGGTGAGATGCAAGGGAGGTGCCTGGTGTCTAGGGCACAGCCGGGCCGCGAGAGCTCTCGAGCTCAGCAGCATTAGGCCTCCGGGGGGGCTCAGTAGAGGGCGCCTGCCTATCACTGAGCTCAGTTTCCCAGGCAGGCGCTAGGGGGCGCTGTGCTGCGGGAGGCTCACTGGGGCGCTCTCCCCTCTGGGGCAGGGGAGCTGTGGCGATGTTGGAGGAGGTCACAGGATCCTCCGTCACTTCCTGTTCTAACCTGCCACGGAACTGTTGCCGTGCTGCACCCCAGAGGTGGCTGCACCCCCGTGCCGGGAGACATCCCCACGATACCAGCCCTAGGATCCTGTGGGGCTGCACGGGGGCTCCCCCTGCACCTGCCTTTCCGGGGGGGGGGTGGATAGGTTCAGGGCTGGGCTGGCCCGGGTGTCTCACCGGGGCCCGTTCTGCTCCCCACAGGGTTTTTTCCGACGCACCATCCAGAAGAACTTGCACCCGACCTACTCCTGCAAGTACGATGGCAGCTGTGTCATCGACAAGATCACCCGCAACCAGTGCCAGCTGTGCCGCTTCAAGAAGTGCATCGCCGTGGGCATGGCCATGGACTGTAAGTGGTGAGGGGCAGCCAGCGGCTGGAGGGGTCCCGGGGCCAAGGGTGGGGGGGAGGCAGCGCATGGCCAGGCTCACGCTCTCAGTATTGGTGCAGTCCCTGCTTACAGGCCTGTCTGGGGGCTTTTCCCCGGGTCGGGTGCTTGCCGGGGAGGGGGACCCCAGACCTGCCTCCATTGCTGGCCCCCCCTCTTCCAGCCACAAGCCAGGGGGTAGTGGGGGGCAGCCGCAAGGGCAGCAAGGGGTTAACGCCGGAGGGGTGGGGTTGCAACTGTGAGACAATGACACGTATTTTCCCCCCCCCTCCCGCCCCGGTGTGGGGCGCTGGGGGGGTGGGACGGAGGGCGGTGATCACCCTCAATACCCGTGGAGGCAGGTGGGGCAGAGCTCCCAGAGAGGGGCTGCCCCTATGGGTAGCCCCAGGCCCCTGACCTCGAACTCGTCACTTGGAACATGACACCGGGGTTCCCCCCCAGGATGGCTGGCATCCCGCGGCGTGCACCTTCTGCCCATTGAGAGGCTCCCCCAGAGCCCTTGCTGTGGCGCCCTGGCCAATCGCCATGGCCGCTGTGTGGAACTGAGCTGGGATTGGACCGGTCAGGCCCCGCCCCCTGTGCTCACGCCCCGCCCCCTCTGTGTGCTGACCCCAGTGGTGCTGGATGACTCCAAGCGGGTAGCCAAGCGGAAGCTGATCGAGGAGAACCGGGAGCGGCGGCGCAAGGAGGAGATGATCAAGACCCTGCAGCACCGCCCGGAGCCCAGTGCCGAGGAGTGGGAGCTGATCCACGTGGTGACGGAGGCGCATCGCAGCACCAACGCCCAGGGCAGCCACTGGAAACAGAAGCGGAAATTCCTGGTGAGCGCCCTGACCCGGTCGCGTCGCCTACACCCACCCCGCCCGCAGCGGGCACACCCTGCGTGTACGCCTGCTCACCCTGCGGGCAAGCCACGGTCGCTGAGCACGGACTCGCACCTGCACCCCTGGGCACCACGGGCAAGCCCTGCCCATATGCTCCCTCGCAGGCGTGCAAGCCGCAGTCACGCACACACATGTTCACGTGTTTACAGGCCCTGGCTCGCTGTGCAATGCTCGCTCAAGCACACGGCCCTCCCCAGTGCCCAGAGCCGTCACACCACTGCAAGGGGCTGGCAGTTTGTGGGGGACACTTTGATCCCACCCCCGTGCTCTGTGGCCATGGCCGGTGTCTGTGCAGCCTGTGTGTGGGACCCGTCCTGCTCCCCTTCCGGTGTGGGAGTGCCGTCCCTCTCCTGTTGGGCTCAGAGCCTAGAGACCATGGTGAGGGGCCTGGTGGCATGATACTGTCCTCTCCAAGTGGGTGATCGATCATAGAGCACTAACCTGAGCCCGTCCTCTCCCCCATGGCTCTGCGAGGCCCCCTGTGACCCATCCATCCTCCATCATGGGGGCAGGGCGACCCTCCGGCTCTGTGCCCCACTCAGCCTTTGCTGAGCCCAGGGTGCTCATTTGGGTCAGTCGCGTTAGAGGGGAGGTCTCAGGATGCAGCCGTTGGGAACTGGGCTGAGACTCAGCAAACTCATTTCAGATGTGGGTCACCAAAGCGCTGCCAGATGGGGGCGCCCTCCCAACTCTGCTGACCTAGGCTGGGTCTAGTGGGTTGGGAGTGGGGGCAGGGAGCTAGGACTCCTGGGTTCTCTCCCCAAAAACACCCTGGAGGATGAGCCTGGTTTCATTCAGGCTCTGGTGCTGACTGCGGGGCAGTGCCCAGGAGTCTCGCTGGAGCGCAGACGGGGTGGCCAGAGGCTAACCCCAGAACCTGCAGCACAGGAGAACGATGGGTCACCCTGGGAGCGAGCAGGAGAAAACCCAGCCCCCCTCCAAAGGGCTTGTCCATGCCCTGGTCCTGCCTCACCCACTGGCCCCTCCAGCTGCCAAGGGGTTAATGTCGCCTCCTGTGGGTGGGTGAAGGGCACAGCTCTGAGTGGGGAGGCTGTTTCCCACAGCCCCCTCTCACGCCGGCCAGGGTTCGGCTGCTGAGGGGGCTCCCTCTCCTGGTCACAGCCCCTTAGTGCCATGGGAGAGCCAAGGCGCGGGGGAGAGGGTGCCAGGACTCCTGGGTTCTCTGCTGCTGACCGGCTCTGTGCCCTGGGCGAACGGCTCCCTCTCTTACCGCTCCCCCCCCCCACCTCTCCCCTGACCTAGCCACAAGGGGCTCAGATGGAGGCTGCTCTCCCCCCAGCCTGCCTGGGGTGCAAGGGTGGGGGGCAGTGGGGGCTCACGCAGGGAGGAGGCTGGGGAGAGAGGGGTCCGGGCAGCGCGCTGGGCGGGCCGGCTCCCTGACGGGCTGTCCCGGCCTTCTCCACAGCCCGAGGACATCGGCCAATCTCCCATGGCCTCCATGCCCGACGGGGACAAGGTCGACCTGGAGGCGTTCAGCGAGTTTACAAAAATCATTACCCCGGCCATCACCCGCGTGGTGGACTTTGCCAAAAAACTGCCCATGTTTTCAGAGGTAGGCGGGGGCAGGGGGAGGGTGGTCAGCAGGGAAGGGGGGATGGGTTGGGTGGGGGGCAGAGACTTGAGGCGGGCGGAGAGGGGGTTAAAAGCAGGGGGAAGGGGGAGGGTGGTCGGCGGGGGAGGGGAGATGGGGGGCAGAGATGTGAGGCGGGTGGAGAGGGGGTTAAAAGCAGGGGGAAGGGGGAGCGTGGTCGGTGGGGGAGGGAAGATGGGGGCAGAGACATGAGGCAGGCAGAGAGGGGGTTAAAAGGGGGAAGGGGGAGCGTGGTCAGCGGGGAAGGGAAGATGGGTTGGAGGGGCAGAGACTCGAGGACTGAGAGGGGGTTAAAAGCAGGGGGAGAGCGGGTGGGGCAGGGCCTGGGGGAGGAGTCCAAGGGGGAAGTGGGCGGAGCATGGGGCAGCCGAGGGGGTCTCCTGTGTCTGACCCCGGCTCCCCCGTGGCAGCTGCCTTGCGAGGACCAGATCATCCTGCTGAAGGGCTGCTGCATGGAGATCATGTCGCTGCGGGCGGCCGTGCGCTACGACCCTGAGAGCGAGACGCTGACACTGAGCGGTGAGATGGCCGTCAAGCGGGAGCAGCTGAAGAATGGCGGGCTGGGCGTGGTGTCTGATGCCATCTTCGACCTGGGCAAGTCGCTCTCCGCCTTCAACCTGGACGACACGGAGGTGGCGCTGCTCCAGGCCGTGCTGCTCATGTCCTCAGGTAAGGGCCAGCGGGGGGCGGCCGCCCCCTCACCCACTGGGCCCTGCTGCTGGGGAGGGATATTCCCATCATGCACCAGGCCACATGGCCGATGCTGCCCATGGGGTTAGGGGCCGGTTCCTTCCTCCCCCTGTGAGCTCAGCTGAGATCTCCACAGCCTGCTCCCCCGCATCAGCTTCCCTGGCTGGGGTCCCCATGCGTTGCTGGTGCCCACTAAGAGCACCAGGGGAGAGGCCCGGGGCGCAGGAGACAAAGCCCCTGGTGCAGCCAGGGAGCCCAGAGCTGGAGCTGTTGCTCAGGTATCAGAGAGAACTGGAGACGGAGGGGTCGTGGTGGGGCCAGGTGTTGGGCTAGATGGGGGCAGGGAGAAGTGGGGGGAGGGAGGGGTAGGTAGCGGGTAGTTGTGGAGATGAACGGATAAAGGAGTATTTGTGGGGTGGAGGGGTACAGGGGTAATGATGGGACTGAATAGCCAGAAAGGGAGAGCGATGGGTTTGGATGGGTAGGTAGGGTGAGGGAGTCGTTGGGGGGGGTTGGAGGAGCACAGGGGAAGAGGTGGGGCGGTTGGATGGAGGGGGGCGGATAGGCAGGGAGGGAGGGGGTGGGATACGTTGGGGGGTTGGATGGAGGGGGCGGAGAGCTAGCGATAGGCACAGAGGGCAGCCGTGGGGCTAGCCCCTCGGGCGGAGGCTGCGTTGCCCCCGTCCCCCCCTGACGCCCGCCCGTCCCCCCCGCAGACCGCACCGGGCTGCTGCGGGTGGAGAAGATCGAGAAGTGCCAGGAGACCTACCTGCTGGCGTTCGAACACTACATCAACTATCGCAAACACAACATTCCCCACTTCTGGCCCAAGCTGCTGATGAAGGTGACCGACCTGCGCATGATCGGCGCCTGCCACGCCAGCCGCTTCCTGCACATGAAGGTGGAGTGCCCCACCGAGCTGTTCCCACCCCTCTTCCTCGAGGTCTTTGAGGATCAGGAAGTCTAGGGCGGGGGGAGGGGAGGGGGCAAGGGGCGGGGCCAGGACTCGGACGAGAGCCCAGCCCCTCCTGGACACGTTTTACTTGGTTCTTTTTCGTTTTGGTTTGTTTTTCTAAATATTGCGCGTGGGTGTCACCCGGCAGCGCCGACACCACCACCACCACCCCCGCGGAGGGGGTGGGACCATGGGGGCGGGGCTGCTGTCGGTGTGGGGGGGAGGGGCAAAACTTTTCAAAAACCACACAAAACATGAGCTTTTTTGGGGGGGGGGGGGGGGGAGTTGGATTTGGAGTAGCAAGGGAGGATAAGTGGAACCTGGATCTCCTTTCCTCTGAACCCCTCAGTTATGGGGGTGCTGGGGGGTGGATACATAGCCCGGATTTCAACCCAACTGCAGGAAGAACCCCCCCACTCAGAGAGTTCTCCGTCCCATCACCTCCCTGGCACTAGGCTCAGCTGGCACCTCACGGCTCCCCCCAAATAAACCTCTCTCGTTCCACGGACTTTATGAATTTTGTTTGTTTGCACAGGACAGTCCCAGACGTCAGAGCGTTTGTTTCCTTTATTATTTCCTTAGGTGATTTTGTTTTTGTTCTTTTTAGCATTTATTCCCTCCCTGAGAGGCTAAAATATTAACTAACTGCACTTTGAGAAGAGAAAAGCTATTAAATTATTAGCGGGGAGAACCCAGGCGCAGGGAGAGGGGGTGAGGTTAGGGGAGGGGTTCGGGCCACGGAGCCGAGCGTGAACGACAAATGCACTTTTTTTATTAAAAGACAAAACTCCAGCGGGAAGTCGCTGGTTAGATTCCCAGGGGTGCCTCGATTTCCCATCGAACTACAGGGCGCGAAGCCAGGGTGCCAGCTGAACCCCGTGCCAGGGTTGCAGGATTGGACCAGCGGAGAACGTCAGCTCCCTGCTACACTGGAGAATCGGGGCTCCGAGGTTGGGCTGTCAGGTCCCTTGCCCTCTCCCCGCCTCCCCCCCCAAGAACCCGCCACTTCGGCCCATCTACCTCTTAGGCTGGATGGGGCGGGCAGGTCTGTCCTGACACCCCAATCCTCCCAGCACACCCGCCTCTCCCTCAGTGCAGGCGCCTGCCGAGGGCCGTAGTTCTGACACTTTCCCGAAGGCGAGGCAGTGGTGGGCAAGGGAGAGAGGCTCCTGCCCGCAGGGGTTGGGGGCTGTGCTGAGAGGGGGCGAGGGGGAAGATAAGAGCTGGTCGAAAACATTGGCTCTAAACTGGCTCTCGCGGGACAATTTGGTTTTCCATGCAGAGTCTGCTCCCCGCGGAAAGTTTTGATGCTTCGTTGACGGAACAAACACCAGAAAACCGAAAGAGCTGAATTCAAAATGGTGCCGCCGTGCCTCCTGGGAGTTGTGGTTTGGGGGCCTTGAGCTCCCATTCATCTCTATGGGATGGACTCTCTGGTTGGAATCCATCTCCCATGATGCACCAGGCCTGAGGCTCCCATGGGGCACCCCCTTCCCAAGAAAAGTCACTGGGGCATCATGGGAGATGGAGTCCAGCCCAAGAAACCAGCCCCTAGAGGAGAATGGGAGCATGAGACATCTGAACTACAACTCCCAACAGGCAGCGCGGTGCCATTTTGAATGGAAATATTTCTGTTTTCAATATTTTGCCAAAAAGTCGTAATTTTCTTTGGGGAAGCTGCCTATTTTCTGACCAACTCCCCCTGCCCAGGTCCCTGCCCCTGCCCCTCCAGTGGCCTGTCTGTCTCTGATACCCCCAGGGCAGGGACCATCTGCCCATCATCTCTGGTAACATGCCCCCAGGAGAACCCCTCACGCAGCAAGGGGCCAGGGAGGACCGTGCGCTGAGCCCCACCCACGCCGCTCCCCATGGGGCCCACACTTTTAATGGGCACGCGCTTTCCACAGGACGGCCCCCTCCCTGCCACCGCTCACTGCACTAACGCCGTCAGTAGTCTGCCCTGTATTGGCCTGCAGCATGCGCTACCCTGTCCCCCAGCTATGCCATCCCAGTGCCTCGCTCGCCTCACCACCTCAAAGCCTTGATTCTCCGTGAGGCAGGGGCGCGCGGGGGCAGGAGGGATTGGGGAGCCCTGGAAAATGGCACTTATTGGGCACAGGGGCCGGGAGTCCGAGCTGAGGCGTTTGCCCTTCCTAAGCGTGTGGGGGAGCTAGGGACAGGCCAAGCCGGGGTAGCTGCGTTGGTCGCTTTAGGGTTGTCTACCCTCCCTGATCCCTCTCCCAGCCCCCGCCCCGATTCCTCCAACAGCCAGGGCCCCATGGTCACCAGGATGGGGTGTGCACGCTCCCTGCTGTTCCCGGGGATCCCCCTCGCCCACCGTCCCCCTCACGGCCCCAGCCCAGGGCCCACCCGCTCTGGGAAAGCACGAGGCACAGGAGACACGTCACACCCGAGCGGCGGGCATGTTTCGGCTCAGCCCCGGGGTGCCACCCACGCGTCTCCGATCACGGCTTGGCCGGGCCCGCGTGTTTAACCCCGCGTTGTCCAACGCGGCTTCCCCAGCGCGGGCGAGTTCATGGCACCGCCGTTCGGGGACTAGACAATGGCATAACCCACCCTGCCCACCCCTGCAGCCGCCACAGGGGCGCGCCGGCACGACCCATCCTTAAAGCTGAACCAGCAGAACTGAGCCTCAGCCGAGAGCGAAGCGGCGCTTGTAGCAAGGAGCTCCCTGTCCCTCTGCACTTAGCCAGCCCCGTGGGCTGCGGCCCGCCTGGCTCTTCCATTTCTGCTCCGCTGCTTTTTCCTTTTGGGGGGGGGGGGAATAACAATCGTAAAGGAATTTAAATCGCCAGGGGGCAGATCTAAGGCCCAATGGGCGTCAGCCTTTCTGGACTCTTCAATTTCACTCCTTGTGCGGAGAAACTGCACTCACTCACCCCTGCCTGTAGGGGGCACTTACTGGTAGTCAGCCACGCTTGGACACCCCCACACACACGCCCCCGCCCCCCCCCCGTTTCCCCAGCTGTCTGTCAGCAAACCCCCGGCCGATGATTTGCGCCTTGTATTTGTATCTGTCCATCTATATCAGTATCCAGTGGAGGGAGTTCGTTTTTAAGCTTTTTCTTACCCGGTTTAGGGCGTGAATTTTTGTTTTCTTACCTCAGTCGAGAGGCCAACGGGGATGGGGGGCGGGGGATCGGCTTATTCTGAATGTACCGTTTAAGGTTCAGGTCCGGGTGAGGAGAGCCACCGCAGGGTTAATGCCGCTCCGATTTAAGCTAATATATATATATATATATATATATATAATTATATATATAAATTTTTTTAATTAAAAAATCTTTTTACGGGTTATTTTAAAAAACAAACAAACCCACAAACCTTTTGTTGTTGGTTGGTTTGGTCCGATATGCTTGGCTGATGTATTGCTTGGTGTGCTGGACAGGAGCCCAGCCACCGCCGTGACCCCGGACTTGGTGGGCGTAGGCCGAGGAACTGTCCCGTTAGCGTTGTGACCAGGGCACCGGAGCCGGCGGCAGCCAGGGAAGGAGTTGATTCTTGGGGGGGGGGGGGGGAGAAGAGAGGTTTTTGGAGCCCCCTTTGGTATTAGCCTCGTCTGTTGCAGTATATTCCCAGAGCCACCTGTGTTTGGGAGAGATGGAGACACGAGGGCCCGGGCCCCCACAAAGGGCCCAGGTTTTCAAACAATCTCAATACCCAACGCGCACCCAGCGTCGCGGGCTCTGTGGAAAACCTGGGCCCAGGCATGGGTGCCGCCTGCTTGGAGCCGTGGCCCATTCTGTAAATATAGGAAGGAGTACGTTTCCCGGCAGATACTCTGGCTTTCTGTAATCAGTCCCGCCTTCCCCGGGGTGCTGTGAGCTGCAGCGTCTCGGTCCATTACTCAGCATTGCCAGCTCTCCTCCCACTGGTTGATGCTTTTTGTAAAGCCCCAGCTCCCGGAGTCATGGGGTTGGGGGAAACTTCAGCTTTCATTTAAAAAAAAAAAAAAAATTCTCTCTGGTGGTTGCCGAGAAAGGCTAGAAACCAGGAAGCGAGTGCAGCTTAGAGGGCAAGGAAAAGGGACCCAAATTGGATGAGTTAATAAAACAGCTCCTGTTTGAATGCTTGGGGCTGGCAATTGGCTTCAGAACCCGGCAGTCTCTTCCCCACCTGGCAGCGCTCCGGCTTGGCACCGAGCGGCTGGCACAAGGCTGGTGACGGGCACAGCATCTTCACCTGTTCCTGGTCTGTGCTGGAGGAAGGTGGCAAAAAATGGGTCAAATCGGGGCTGGTTTTGATTTCTGCAAAGCCCGGGTGAAAGGCTGGTTCTGATCCAAACCCCCAGTGTGGGGGGAGGTGGTTCTGATTCTGGGGCCTCCCTCTAAACCCATGGAGAAGCTGAGACTCCTGCAAGCTCTCCTGCCCCTCCCAGGCTCCCCTCCTCCCCCCAGTTAAAGCTGTAATCAGGGAGCCCTGATTGTTCCCCAGCACTGATAGCAGGAACGCTGTGGGGGGCTGGGGTAGTGCTTATGAGTGGGTGTGGGGGGCAGCTCAGCTAGCAACTGTCCCCCCATCCCGTTGTCCGTCCCCCATCTCTCAGCCCAGGGAGGGTGCCGCCCCATGCCCCTTCCCCACTCTGCAGCCGCTCACTCCATGCGGGCTCCGGCATCAGGCACGTCAGTTCAGTGACAGCGGGGCTGCTGATTGGGGGGGGCAGGTGACCTCGTCTCCTTGCACTGTTGGTGCAAAATGTCTTAAGCTCCTAGGAAAACTGTGAAGTCCCCACCCTGAGGAAACACGCTGCCCTGCTTACCTCAGCTCTGCTGAGCAGCTTGTCTAGGAAATAGGGTTTGGGGCGGGGGGGGCATCAGGAACCTTAAGCCTCCCCTGCCCCCCAGTCCTGCCGGTTGTTTTGGTCTCTGAGGGCGGGGAGGGGAGGGGAGGGGGATCCGGGTGTGTCTGCAATGTGACCAGGTCCCTGGCCGGGGGCTGTGCCAGCCTGACGCCCAAACACTAATGTGCAGAGCTGGAGGGGCCCGGCTGCCCACGGGTGGCTGTCGAGGAAGGCTCTAAATTTGGCCCACCCTGCCCCTCCCCCTGGTATGAGACCCCCTCTTCCCCCACCCCCGCTAGCCTTGCACAGGACTGGGTTGCCCTGTGCCCATGAGCGAAGCAGGTTGCACAGTTCTGGCCCAGTTCTGCGGCCTGACCCTGGTGGAGGTGG